TAGTGAATATACCGAATAGAATAGAAGCCCTGATTCTATGCCACATTTAGTACTTGTCAAAAAACACCCGCACGACTCCTATTTGCTCCGATACTTGAGGGTCTTTCAAGCAAGAAACAGTTTTTGGACTGATCGAGGTCTCCTATAGATTCCGAGAATCAGACGTTCATATCAGCGGCCTTCTAGCGAGCAAAATCTTGAAAAGCTTGAGTTATCGCAGAGCCAAATACACGATTTCGGTTGGACTCATACAGACTGCCCCAATCCCAATGAGGCCAAAACTGGCTTGGCGGGAGTACGAGAGTTTTCTCGCGCCTACGCGCCTGCTTGCCTGCTCTCTATTCGATATCTTCGCTCTTTTCGACAGTGCGCATATACAACGCAGAGTACTGACGCTGCGTGCGCGCAAATTTAGCTAATGGGTCGGCCTGAACCCGTTTGGGGCAGACTTTTGGTATACAACACATTTTCAAGTATGTTAACGCTGACCGTAGAGCCGCCGGCCTTCTGTGGTAGTTCTGTTGTTGTTCTGATTTGTCTACCTAGTCCTTTTCAATCTGTATGTGCAAATTAGTTTCAGTGGTTTTAAAATGCTTTGTTGATTCGTGCTGGGACCACGTGATCAAGCCCGCGCACATCTTCACATGTCCCCATGTAAGGCAGCTCAGCTTGGCTCATATCAGTTTCGACACTGTCGCCACGAAGAGTGCGGCCGCGCCACCTCGAGAATAAGTGGATGCGCCAATCGCCGGAGGATCGTTCGTTCGGAAAGGATTACATCAAACTCTAGACAACACACCAAGCTCCCCGCAGTAGCGTCACCGAAGCCTAATTGCGCGACAAATGAACCAAGTCCTTTCTCTACATCATGAACATCTTGGATCCCGTAGAACTGAGCCCAAAGTCTGCTTCAAAGGTTTAAATTAATTGTGGATGTGATTGCGGGTGCGACGCGCAACTAGATGCGCCGGTTGCAGCTCAGATAGGTGAAGTGCTGGCTATCTTATTCATCTAACAGCAAGGTTAGTTGTCTTTACAATACAACTGTGAAACGTTCTCGCAACCAAAAAGCGACAGCATAATCTTCGACCTCAACATCTCAAGCCCGATAACTGAGTCACATAGGTGCATCCACAGAAGTAAAAATTCCTTCAAGACATATGTACAAGGCTTCGGTGAAAGCTGCCACCCGGATCCATTTCCCCTTCAGGGTTAGACCCCTTGTAGATGTTAACGTTATGCTCTTCACTGAGCAGCGGATTCAGCTTTGTTCGGGACCACAACGTAATTAGTGAGAATTTAGCTAATTCTATACTAGTGTCGGCAAAGCAAAGTGTTTGCAGTACTGTGAAAGCACTCAAATAGCTTTCAGTTACACTTTAACCCAACATTGCAGGCAAACAATACAATACATCCATGATATGTATTTATAGAGCACGGATATTCTCACAACCTCATCGATAAAATCTTTACGGAGCATAGTCCGTACATAGAACTCTGTATGAGATGAAAACCAACGTAATCAGAGGTAAATATTACCAAATGGCAATTACTGAGCATTTCAATTGTGAGGCAAGCGAGAACCCGAGCTATGAATTGGAATAGAATTGCAAATCGACTGAGAGTTCAAGTCAGATGTATGATACAATATTCGATATGACATAGAAGGGAAATATGCAAAGCAACATGAGTATAAGCGCTTTTAGCGAATCTGCAGTTAAGTAGGACGGTAGTGTAACACCCTTCGAGAGAAAAATAGTAAAATCACAATATCATGCAATAGTGCTTGCCCTTCCAGAAAGTTTCGCCGCAAGGCTTTTACCAAAACTACGCTTCTGGTGCGACTGCGCATTCGCGGGTTGTTGCTTTTTTTACGTACTCGAAGTATTTGAGGAAGTCATTTGATCAACTAATTTTCAGACGATTTTACAGAGTAGATAATGATGAGGACCAGGATTATTTCTCGAGCCTAATGACTCATAGTACCTTTAGGAGTCAACAAATCAGAAGTTTCGACTTGAAAAGTAGTCGTAACTTTTGACAAGCGTTTCGACGCTTGATAACATATCATTGACTCTAGACTCCATCTACTACACTATAGCTATGATTTACAATGTACAGAGAGTCCGAAGTGACATTATAAGAGCTCAGCATCTGCACTGGCACGGATCAGGAGCCTTGGCACATTGCGCCTTAAAGGCACCGTCCACCCAGATTTTCGGCTTCCACATTTTTGTCGTTTCAGGCCTTCCCATGTCCCTGATTCCGAATATGAAATCGAGAATGCGCGAAAACCCCGACATCCCCGTTACGGAGAACCCACAGGCCGGCTTTCCGGAACGGTGATTGGATAGGCGCGCACAAATGGGCGGGCATGGATGGGGGAGGGCGGGCATGTATGGGGTCCTCGTGCATCTTTGTTATTCCGGAGCGATTTTCTCGCTTCCGAAGCGGCATTTTGCGCTGCGACTTGAGCATTGGATTGATAGGGGGCCCTGCTATTATATGCTACCAAAAGCTCAACACCCTCAATTTAGGGTGAACTGTGCCTTCAAAGGCAGCGTCCAGGCAAATCTGGACCTATGGGGCTCTTACGTGGAAAATAATCTTGAGGCCCTAAGTAAGACTCTGCCCAAGCGGCAGATCAGATAGTGCACTCACGGCTAAGATATTGAGCTCTAAACTATGCCCCGCGACCGTATTCGCATGGATTCATGGCTCGGATCAGTTTCGCGTGGATCCTCGCGCAAAAGCGCCACGAATCCATGCGAATACGATCACGGGGCATAGTTTGAAGCCCAATAACTTAGCCGTTACACTATCTGAACTGCCGCTTGGGCAGAGTCTTATTTAGGGCCTCAAGATTACTTTCCACGTGAGAGCCCCTTAGGTCCAGACCCGGGCTTCGAACCCCAGAAAGGGCCGAAGTTAACGCGAAGTTAACGCGTTCTTCAAATTCCCAGAAAATATCTCGGAAGAGAGTTTAGTTGGGAACTGAATCTCAGTGCGAAAACCCTGGCGCCTGTAATGCAGTGAACATCACGCGAGCTATGGTGGTGGTCCCTCGCAAAGGCCGAGTCGTCCGCGGACGTGCCAAACTGAGGCTCGCACGCCGCTTCAGAAAAAGTTCTCTTCGCGGGCAGGGCCCGGCACGAGTCGGTTTCTAGGGTTTCTGAAAGCGAAGTCTCCTGACTTTCGGAAGTTTTACGAAGTCCTCTTTGACCTACCTACTTAGAAGAAGATGAAAGCAAGAAAAATTTACTAATCTGCAAGAAAAACGCGAGATAAGAGTGAAATCCAAACTGGAGCTGAATACTACGCATGCTCAAAAGTTTGGCATTGGAGCGCGATATTTAACAAAGCGATTTATGGAGAAGTTAAGGCAAAAAATAAAGGAAAAGCAATGATATGAAAATGTCTTTATGCTCAGGGCTAGATTTTTGACCGGGGAATCCGTCCATGATGGAAAAATCCAAAACTTACGTGAAGTGACAGAAGTATATGCGCCAGACGATCTCAGATCATCTGGTGACCGTCTGGAAACGGACTAATTTTGGAAAAGATAATACCTCACATAAATTTTCAAATCTTTCTGCATAATTCTTTTGCAAATGATATTCTATGTATACAGTTCAATTTTGGGGCCATATGATTCTGTGTGCGCTATAAACAGGCAATTGTTATTTTTGTTTATTTTAGCCTTGCTTTCAAATCGCGCGCACTTTTCGCCATACGCGATAGAGCATGCCAATCGTGTGATAACCTGTCCGAAAAGCTTGTGTTTGACAAAATGGCGCTTATTCTGGTGCTCGACCTCGATTCGTCAAAAACGACATCTCCTTTGCTTTTTGCTCCAAAAACGAAGTCCAGCCTGCTTCCAGACGATCTGTGCCGGGCCCTGTTCGCGGGCACTAGATAGAATCTGATGCGGATTGGCCAGGAGAACAACAGGTAAGCCTGCTCTTCCACTATGGCCCTTTTTTTGAAAACTCGGTTCTGCTTTCAGAGGCAGGGCCGGAAAACTAATGGGCATGGGATTTTAGTGTCGTATAAAAACGGACGCCCTCGGAGACGCCATCGCACAGGTGCAAAGTCGTAACTTAAAGGCAGAGGCTCGGCAAATTCTCGACTTAGAGTTTTTTTGCCTACCTGGGGTAATTCGAGGCGCTGATTCCGAAAATCTACTTTAAAGGGGCGAAAATGGCAAAAATCACCATTTCCCAAGGCCTCTTATATAATTTGGACGAGTGGAGTACGTCCCACCATGGCTAGAGAGGCAAAATGGTTGCAGGACCCTCGCAGTTATAACATTGCAGCATGCCTTCTCTGACGGGGGAGGAAGAATCGCAAGCTCGTCCGCGCGTACTAGAAAGGCTTGCACGTAAAGAGTTTAGGCAGTTTCCTAGGCAAGAGCAGCATGCTGTGCGCTCGAACCTGCTCTGTTCTCATGGTTGGAATGAAAGCAACTTCCATGTCAACATTTTTTCGGAATGTTCGATTTTGGCGAGCTGCTGCCGTTTAAAAGCAGACGCGTGAAAACTGCTTGGTAAGTGAGGAGATACACCCTCGAAGGTAAAGTCTCTCCGACCTGATTTCCTGCTCTGCGGTAAAGTGCGCATGTCGTCACAGTTAAGGTCATAGGATCCTGCATCGACTCTGCGTCTCAACCTTAGGGGGGGGGGGGACTTTTCCACTCGTGCAATAGCTGAATATCGACTTCTTGTCCGGACATTGACGGAAAACATATGTGTATTCAAACACAACCTCGATATCCTCTAAGACCGTCACGGTATCGGATGCGGTTGGTACCACGTGAAAGATCCAAACGATGCGGCTCTGGAGGACCTGAACCACGTCGACCGTGACACTCAGACTGAAAGCCCCTGTACCACTACGAAGTAGGACTTTAGCGTTAAATCATGTAATTCAAAAGAAATCAGTAACGGGAAGATGTAGCACTTGTACAAGACGTATCTTATCGTTTGAGATAGAGATTGCGCAGTTGCACCAGCTGTAACTTCAAAAACTAGTATCCTGCGGATAGTTCGTACAGACTTTTTGGAAGCGCAAGCTTATATATGTGTATGTAAGTACGGAGAGATAATATACCAAAGGGCACAGACTAAATCCTGAGAATAGGAGGAGAGAGATGAGGAAATTAATTCGACAAGAAATGTATGAATTCTCTGACGGAAATTCATCAAAGCTATCTGGAGCAAAACTGAGTTCGACTAAACTATTGCCTACTTTTGGCGCTATCGCTTAGCTCCGGTTAAACAGTAGCTCCTGAGAGAGATTGTCAAAGGTCACTATCTTGAATAGGCGCATCACCTGGAATACAAAAAAAAACTTTTACTTAATGAAGCAAAAAAAATTCCCAAGAAGGTACCTGATAACTCTCCAACATAGCCGAAGCTGCTGAGGTGACACCGGATATCATCAAAATCAAATTGCCGAATCGCTCTAAAACAAGTTGCGCCATTCAGCTTAGAATATGAGCATTGCGCTGTTATCAAACTCCTCTCCCCTCCCCAATCCCTTCCCCCCCCCCCCCCTCCTGAGCACAAGAGGATGTGCCTTTCTTCTCTTACAGTTGATTCCTTCTCCATTCAGACTTAGAAAATTACAAAAATAACTTCGCACAAATTCAAACTCTGCTCACCAGGATAATTCTGGTAGCAGATGTGTTGATAGTACTGGAAGAGAGCAGCAATGACTTGATCCCGATATGCAAGAACAGCTTTTCTCGATTCATCCGAGATCTCTGAGGTTTCTGAACTTTTGCTGGGTGATAGAACCCCTATACGAAGACACCATCAACTCGTCGTGCCTCGCTAAGGCTTACTAATTACGAAATACCTGTATGGTTGCCACAATTGAAAAGCATAATAATCTTTAGTACAACTAGTTCTTGCGGTAACAGCTGAAGATGTCGAAGAGGGGTAGCGACCTAGAATAAAAAAAACATTAAATTCAAGTACTTCAGGGTGTCGATTATACCTCGTCGATACAGGTGTCCGTCATATTTTTGTAGAGTTTTTCCTGCCTCCAACGCCGATCAGGTGAAATCGTGGACTAAATAGCTCTCTACTGGGAAAGCTTCCATGGGTACTGGAGATATGCTTACACGACATTCTTCAGGAAGGACTTCGACGTTCCGAGGCATGAAAGTTCCATTCGATATCAGCCACACATCCTCCATATTCGTACTTGCAGTGAAAAATCCATGCTCCAAAACCAAATGATGTACAGCAAATCGCTAAAATTAAGTTATATTGCTGTTTCGAAAGATGCTTCCTCTCATATAACCTTCAAAAGTATGACTTTATCCTCAACGGCCAGTGGAGGAAAACATGGAAGAGTTCGCACCCATTCCAACATCATCAAAAGATCCGTTTGCGTTACATGTGAGATGTCTTTGGCAAGAATGATCATCAGTTTGTTGCTGGTTTCATCCTAAAAAGCATAAATTCAAGGTTCTTGTAAAGAATATGATTAAACATAGAAGTAAACAAAAACAACCTAACATTATTTTCTAATGGGAAAATGAGAAACTGCTCTGAATTGCTCATTACGATTGGCAAATACGACTTTTGAGACTGTATAAACCTAAAAAATTACAGCCAGAGGAGAGATGGTTATGATGGGACTTGGTAGCCTCACATTTTTTCGAACAGAAACTTCTCGAATTAAAAACCCAGTCGGGTTCGGTACAGATTATCGTACCAATGTCCCGGTAATAAAATACTGCAGCTCATTTCTCCGTACACATATTCGCCACAGAACTACTATTTCTCATTGACATAAAAAAACTCATGTGAGAACATTTAAAACAATGACATATCGATTTACATTTTCGCTTCTTTAATATGTTGTTATGATTTTCATAGGTCAATAAATTTGTTTACGAGCTGAAATCCTCTCCGAAATGTATCCCTGTATCACCGGTTGCAGAAACGAAGTACACGAATCACAACAGATATACCTTTGATTCACTCACATAATCCGTGCCTGCGCGAATAATTTCGGCCAAGTTCATTGCCTCTTTCTTAGAGCGCATTAATTCAAATTTTCTTTTCCTGAAAAAAAAGCTTGTCATTCGAAAGTGGTACGAAAGAGGGATGCGCTATAGTTGATTCGTTGACCGCGCGGACTGGACATCACTTCGGAGCACGCGCCGCGAGGTAAAACGCTTGTCCCAGTAGAAATTCGCGATTGTACAAGTCGTGCTCTCGCGACAATCAAGCCGCGCCGCGCGTGGTCCGCATGGTTTGAGCAGTCCGCGCGGTCAACGAATCGACGCTGTGAGCTCTACAAAACAAGAACTGACCTAATTCTTTGATCAATCTCAGTAAGCCTTTCAATAAGCTGGAGCAGATGCTCTTTAGATGGATCTGTGGTGATAGGATCACTCGGAGATGGTGTGCGTGGGATCGCCCGGGTCCTCACTCTTCGGCAACCGATAAGATCCCTTCTTGGCTGCAGGGCTGAGACAGAGACCAATCATACAGGCAGATTATCAAAGGAGGGTGTACTTTTCCTGCTATTTCTTCAGCCAGCACCCACCTTCTCGACTCATTCCGCATTCCAAACATTTTCTGTATCGACAAGCTCTGCATGCCTTTCGAGCGGCTTGTGTGACATCACAAGGGTTGTCGCGTTTGCATAACGTGTCCTGACGTTGTACTACCGCTCTGAAACAGTCCTTTTAGATTCAATCATCTTGTTGATTCAGATCACTTCCTCGCCAGGATCAAAATGAAAAGTATAGTCGCCATATAAGCATAAAATAGTGCATCGATTCGGTGTAAAGCTTTGTCATTTTTTTTTGACTTGAGAAAAATACCTCGCAAATTCGGTACAGTAAAGAAAACAAACACTCCAAGCGGCATCCATTGTGCAGAATTTCGTTCTCTTCCCAGCTGCCATGTTCGCAATGTGATTCGTTGATTCAGTGCTAAGCTCAGTAAAGACTACACCCCTCTGTTTTCAACAGGTGTAAATTTCGCTAATTTTCGGCATTTTCATTTAAGAATTCTGAAGGTGCTCTAGTAGCCCCGTTGACAGAGCAAACAACTCGATGTAATTTTGTTGCTCTGGCAATGTTTAAAAATATTTTTTAGAGTGACCAAATTTCATATTCGGCCTATTCTAATCTCGTCAGACATGAAAACGTGAACAGTTCAGGTAAAATTCTATTCAATATTTCTCCTCCTAGTCCTTTTTTTTATTTGCAAGAAAGGTGAAATTTGCGGGGAAAATCGCGATAATTTCCAATTTCACGAGAAGAGCACCGTGATACCCTAAATATCGAAATAACCATATTTCGGAGCGAAAATCGCTCATTTTTGAAAGGTTATTGATGGTAACAATTGAGTTCTATAAACCTCAGAATTCTGAAAATTTTGCAATTCGGTGCAATACAGTGCTTACGAATTATCCAACAAGACTTCTGGAAAATTAATTAGCGAAATTCTTTATGAGAAGCTGAGAAAGGATAAAAAGTTGCTTTAGTTGGCGAAAGTTTCGCTCTTGCTATCTGTTGGTTATCTATGATATGTTCCTTCAAAAGTTTGGAATGAAAATTTCGAAAATCAGCGAAATTACATGTAAAAAATGAAGGATCTTTGAGCTCATCATAAAATTCGTAGTCGACATATTTGCTGGAAAGAGAAAAAGATTCTGCACTGGGTACTGCTTGAAGTATTTGATGGTCTTCATTCCAAGCATTTGTTGGTGATTTCAAAAATTGACAAAGCTTTAACACCTAACATTAGCATTAGCAAAGTCTAACCCTGAATTACGGTGTCTCACTGTAAATTCATACTGGTAAAGGTATCTTTGCTTTCAAAGATTCCACACTATGCTACTCGCTGATACGGTTCCTAAATGATGAAGTAACCGACCTTCGAAAAAACGTCTTGCATCCTAGACAAGCAACAATACCATAGTGTTTACCAGTGCTTGGTTCGCCGCATATCAAACAGTCACCAATTATTCCTGCAACCAACATTTTTATCCAAGTTTTCCTCCAATAGTCTAATCATACACTATTAAGGCAGCCGAAACACTGGCAAAAGTTCAACTTTCAGCATTTAATGAATTCGTAAGAATAATCAAACGCTCTCTGTAGTCTGACTGTGCGATGACAAAGTCTCATAAGCTTTTTTTTGTACAGAACATATCTAGAAATACATAAACTTTTTGTACGAAACATATTGATTTTTTTCATTCACTCTCAACTTCAAATCCTCTACAATTCTATCCTTCCTATGACTCTCCTCCAAAATGTTTACGGGACAAAATTTTTGTCTGTGACCTGAACAAAGCATCGGAGCAAGGTTGCAGCTAAAAAAGCTAGTTTGATTTTTATAAAAATCATAGAATCATTTCATTTCTAGCTTATATATCACGCTTTCAAAAATTTTCGGACCAATCTTGAGGATAAAAAAGAGACACGAGCATGGCGCAAAATGCTTTGGACAGATACAACAATTTTTTTAGTTTTTGACAGAACTCTAAGAATCCACCTAACGACGGATCTGTGAGAACGAGAAAGCTTGCCATATAAACAGTTTCGAAAAATTTTATCAAAGTATTAGACACCGACCAGCGAAGAAATGACGTCTTAACATAAGTTACTCCTAATGGACACAGAAAGAAAATGGCAGAAACTAAACTCACGGCGAAGCAAGAAAGGAGTTGGTTCAAAAAATGGTAAACTTATGCACACGCAGTCTTGACTCCAAGAAAATCTCCTAGATGGTCATGGGAAGCCAACTCCTCCAACTCAATTTAAAATCTTCATCAAAAAAGTAGAAGGTGCATAACATTTCTGTGTGAAGAAAAAAATTGGAAAGCACGACGAACGACTTACAAACTACGACTTGTGCGTGATTTGCGCGCCAAAGAAAAACGATAGGCCTTTTTATCCCTCTGATAATTATGAGCACGCTCCGGTATACAATCTTGCAAAAAGATTCTTTCAGAGCTTGCCGAAACAAGGCGCAAAAAAGGGTGACCAATCAGAAAATTTATTGTCGCTTCAGGTAAGTGGTATTGCAATTAATTACACTGTTATTTAGTGGCCCTCAGTCACGGCACAAATGACAATAGATAGACAAAACACATTACTAAGGAGGGTTGCAAATCGAAATAGCCAATCACTACAAGATGGATAACACCACCAAGAGTTTGGAACGCTAAGCTCAAAAATCTGCCTTCCTCATCTGCAAAACGCTTCCCTTGAGGGAATTTTTGCTTGTGCGATTTTGCATGGCGCTGAGTAGCTAGAATTATCACAATTTAGGCATTTTCGACTCAGACCTACTCGGATCAGTTTATCCGTGCTTAATGCGATGCCGACCTCTTTTTCAATGATATTCTGTAGCGATAGAAGCAATTTGAGAGAATTCCATTATTGGTAATCACTGAAATCAAAACGCTCATAACTTTCTTCCCAAGCGTTTTGCAGATACGGAAGGCAGACTCGAAGTCAGCGGTCCAAGCTCTTTGTAACGGTATAAATGTTGTGGTAATCGGCCACTTCGAATTCACGACCCTCGGGTAGGGGAACAAACTCCGCCACTTGAGCCATCTACGCGGACTACTGGTCCTGCAACGACAGGCAACAATATTGCAAAAGGACAAGTTGCCGCGAAGGCGGGCTTAAACTGGCGGAGTTCATTCCCCTACCCACGATCCTCGCTTGATAAAAACAGACCTAGCTTGCAACTAGTGTTGATAATAAAACCTTAATTCTTCCTTCATTGCTGAAGATAAACTGAATCTCGTGTGCAAAGCTCGCTTTCGTTAACTCTTGCCCGTAAAATGCCGCATAGAATGAAAAAAAAAATGGAAATTCGGGGCCTTTTTTAGTAAGTCGTAAACTGCAAAACGATATTCAGACGGATCCAATTATTTGTTCAGTAGCTAGTTCTTCCTGCGAAATGTTTGAGGTGTTAGAAAAAAATGAGGTTCTGCAATTCTCAGTGTGTAATTAGCCGTGTGTAGACAGAAATTTTCAGCCCATTGTGTGATAGAAGATCGGCTCCCAGAAAAAAGGGCAGAATTCAGTCAGATTCCATTGGCATGAAATCAGAATACGATGGATGTATAAATCTACTGATCCAATCGTAAAGTGAATGTAGCGATAAAATACTATAAATGCACTTACACTGCGACAAGCCAATAAATTCTAGGAAAAAATACTGCAAATGCGCGACCGCGAAGTTTTTTTTTGATATATGACCACTCTGTGATTTACTCCCAAGTCCATTAACACAGCTTTTTTCCAGGATTTGATTTCATTAAGAATTTTTTTTGGCACGCCATTTGATTATTGTACAAAATAACACCAGTCTCAAATATATCGTGAAAAAACAACATACCTTTTTCATGTTTTGAACTGCTCTGATAGTCAGCTGTATGCGTCATCATCTGGAAACTATTTCAAAATAAAAAAGCAGCACGTGGCAAGATGTACACAGTCAGTCATAATAATAAATTGCAATTTTCCATAAACATGCGCGATGGTAAAGGAAGAACGTTAACGAAACACCAAAGGTAGAGGGATAGAAAACTAAGGAAGATAGATTAATGTTCGGAAAATGACACTTGGTGGCAAGACGACTCAAAAAAAGTGCGCTCGTTTAATCGAAGTCACACGTTTAGAATCTTACGTTCAAGCCCAAAGAAATAAGATGAGGATAGTGTAGTGCTGCAAATTATCGCAAAATATATTAATCGCTACAAAGGTAAGGTTTCCTATTTTCTCAAAAAAAACTTCTACAAAATTGCTCCCGGCAGAGTTTTCGATAAAAATAAGCCACTCAATAATCAAGATAAGCTGTGAAGAATGAAAAGGCTAATTTTCTGGAGATGACATGCCTAGCAAGATGATGGTCACCGGTCCTCGCGTTAAGGGACCATCACGTGATAAAAACAGCAGTTGCTCATACATATTTTCTAGTTCTTTTCATCATAACTGCGAGCCCGTCGAACATCAAAGCTCAGCTGATCGACGTTCGCTTCTTTGCTTGCACCTGGTGCACAATTTGCTCCTAAGATGAGATGAAAGAGTACTTTTTTCTTTATACGATTCTTTATATCTTATATATAAAGCTGAATGTCTGTTTGTCTGTCTGTCTGTCTGTCTGTCTGTATGTCTGTCTGTATGTGTGTACGTATGTTCCTAATAGAAAATTCCATTTCTGAACCGATCGGGACCAAACTTGGCACACATACACTTCGGGCCCCGGCGGGTGTCATAGGCTACTTTTCGTATCGATCGATATCGATTTTATCGATTTTTTGCAAAATGTGAGATACGGGGCTGGGGTTGGCACAGGGGGATAAGTGAGCATGGGGATTCCGAATACAATATTAGTTTTTAAAATCGTGCATTACTTTTATCGATTTTATCGATTTTTTTGCAAAGTTTGAGCTACGGGGCTGGGATTTGGCACAGGGGGGTAATCGAGCATGCTGATCACCCCCGTGGGGGTGATCAGCATGCTCGATTACACCCCCTGCCAAATTCCAGCCCCCTAGCTCAAATTTTGCAAGGAAATCGATAAAATCGATTAAAGTAATGCACGGTTTCGAAAACTAATATTGTATTCGTAATCAGCATGCTCGATTACACCCCTCTGCCAACTCCCAGCCCCGTAGCTCAAATTTTGCAAAAAATCGATAAAATCGACATCGATCGATAACGAAAAGTGGACTGTGACACCCGCCGGTAGGGTATGTGTGCCAAGTTTGGTCCGGATCGGTTAAGAAATGGAATTTTCTATTCGGAACATACGGCGGAGCCGGGTAAGCCAGCTAGTATTAGATATTACGATCAACTTGGATGAAGCTGTGCCAAAAATGTAATGATTAAGATCGAAATGCCATTTTGCGCTTGAGAACGGAGTAAAAAAAACTATCATATGCGCATATCGACCATACTCCATGGTTCAGTTCCGCATATAGGATAAGAAACTTTCCAAAAGTTGGTATTGAACATCCCCATGCTAATGAACCTCTTCCCGCGCCTGTTCCAAAGGTAATCCCAGACCAATGGAGTATTTTCTAAACTCAGAAAAGTATGAAACACTATTTTTTCTACCATGTTCTGTGTGACAAACATATATTGTGATAGTGGTGTATAATCAAGAATCGTGAGATCTCTTCAAGTAGAGAATTCCACCAAAAAAATGCCGCGCCACAGAATTTCCAAAAAAGCCATAATCATGGCGCAATAATGCTGCCATTAACACAAATGCCACCCACTCACTTTCGAACAATATATTCCACTCAAAGGAATCTTTGAAAAGTGCAAAAAACCTGGCCAAACATTTTCTGGCATGCTTCACCAACCAGGATTTAAGGCCAGTAACTAGGAACACCTACTCTCCGTCAGATAGCAAATGACGAAAAATGATTTTGGATGTGCGCGGATCCAATACAAGAATATCCTAGCGTCAAATTTCGTTATCGAGCTATCAAAAATATTGATTAATATCATAATCGCCCTAGCAAAATTCCGCTTGTTAGACGATATTCACATTAACAAAAGGATACTGTAAAGCCGTAAGGCCTGAGAGGTAAGGGATCTCAAAAACAGTTGCAGAATAGAAAAAGTTACAGTTCTAGATATCGCTCAGATATTGCGGACAGCAAGGTGAAGATCGCTCCCAAAAAAAGAGTTAAGACAGTCATATTCATCAAAAGCTTTGCAAGGAACATGACGAGGATCAATAGATGTTGTGCGACAATCTGTTTTCAGTGCAAGCTAACTCGGAAGATAACAAGATAGCAGTAACACTGATAAAACAATTAACTGGACATACTGACATCTCATTCAGAGCAAAAATAATCCAGTGCAAAAACTTTGATGCTAAGACCGAAAACATGCATAAGAAAAGGCTCTGATCAAGCGCCACTACTAACACAAGAAACACGCAAGGCATGGGCTTTAGAGTAGCGAGTATTAGCCTTTCCATTTTTGCCTAGCAGCAAATTGGGTGCTTTACAAAATAAATCATAAGTTGGTTTCCTATTAAGCCACTGCAACTATAAAATGCGGAGATATTTGTCCAGTGTTTATTTTATCTTTTGTTTGCTTCCCAAGCATTTCCAAGCCGACTGGAAAAAGTTATCGCTCTCCCGACTGCAGCTGAATTCCAAACCTCGACTTCCAACAATGGCGTTTTTGAATATCCGATATCTATACGTTTTCTAATATACGAGAACGCTGGTGTTGGAAATCGAGAATAAAGTGCTCAGAATCATTCAAAGACTTTCCAAATGCAGATGCGGCAATGGTTTGGTGCTTGCAAACAAATTTAGCTACTTGCTTTGCACCACACTGAAAGTTTCCCAGTTTTTATTTCTTTTAAGGCAGCATCAAGAACTTAACCAAATATAAACCAATCAGATTTTTCTTTTCGACAGTTGAATTTTTATTACAATCTACTCAGAAATAGCTTGCCTTGCAATACTCCCTTTAGCTGTTGCTACTTCTCAAATTTCCAGCTTTCAAAGAGATGGCACAACATCCAGCTTTCTTGAAGAGACGGAACATAGTACGAGAAATGATTTTTGACTGGATCATACCATGTAGAAAAAAACTGAACCCTCAACGTTTCCAAAATATGATGAATTGAGGTCAAAAATCGTGAAATCTCAATCAAAATAAAAGTATGTAGGATATGGATAAATATAAAAGCATTCTTATCCATAGAGGCAGACAAATTTAATTTGAAAAAAAAAAATGAATGCAGCACCATTTCCACCATTTTCACAGTGATTTCGTCAAAAGAAATTTAATATGTTGGATTAGTAGAAAATGAAGAGGAAAACCCAATCGCGGATCGACAATAAGATTCTATGAGACATGATAAACGCCAAAAAACAAACTCCACAACGACTCAACTTCTATGCGCAACTGCTATATACTTTGAAGTTGGCTACTGTCTTCTTTGGTAATTTGACAGCATACACAGTCACTGAGGTTGTCCGGGACTCATCCAAAAAAATTTTATTCCAAAAAAGTATCTTGTTTGAGCTTTCTTCATTGATAACTCTGAGTTGCTAAAAACGTTTGAAACTAAACATACAAGCAAGCCATTCCGAGATTACAAGGGAAGACTAAGGTTCAAGGTTCACCATAATTATTATTTTACTTGCTTATCGAACCAAGAACCATACCTATTTTAAACCAAAAGCTTTGTGAAGTGATGTTGTGATAAGGATATCGCAAAAAAGAATTTCTATCCCAGTCAAGGAAATTAGGCGAAAAGATCTATGTGGCAAAACGCAAAGGAACCTGACAAAAAATTTAAGAAAATGGAAGTTAAGTTCTACTGCTAATATGCCATACATCGTCGTATATGGACTTCTAACTTGATATAGTGAGTATTTTTTAGGTAAGGGCCAACAATTAGCTACTGAGTAAGACAGCATTTACCAGCTTAAGATTTATGGTATTTCTGCCCTCATTTGTTGCCAAAAACCTAGGCGAGGTTCATCAATGATGAACGTATAATACCTACCCCTTGACTGAGAACTTCTCTCTAGAATTTTCAGACAGTTTACGCTCTATCGGTGGAAGGCCATCTAAGGCGGAGTCAAAAGGCGGAACGATTAGGGTGTCTCAGTGCCATGTTATCCACCAGACTTAACAGCTGTATATGGAAGTTTTGCTACCTCTATTGCTACTTGAATACGCACTTTCGTCCTATATTATCTTATCAATAGCATTTGTTTATTAACCTTGAAAATGCGTTTGTTTTTGATATTTAAGATATAGTGCCTTGGAGAGGCCCTCGGCGCTATACCTAGAAATCAAACTTGGACCGTGATTTCTAGAACGCCAACTGCAAGTTTCCGCAATGTTTTTCCAGAAGAAGGCCGTAAAAGAGCGCATCCGCTTCGGTTTCGTTTCACTCGCAGTACACACCATATAAAATTCATAGAAGCTAAAGTACATAGCGCACTTTCAGGGCGTTCATTAACGACAAAGTAAGGAAAAGCGTGACAAACTCCGATAACTTCTTGAGCGCACCGCCTTTACTGTAATCCATGGATTGTAGTGTTACTATCGTATCTATTACCACTATTCTATTTCAAAGATTTAAGTAAAAGAAGAATCTAGATTTTTATCACCCATTCGAAGATTCGGAAGCTCCCAAATACTCTGCTCAAGTGTAACTGACAAGTTGATACTTATGCTCTAACAAATCTCGGAAGATTCACTGAGTGATTGAAAGAAGGACAAGTTCGGACCTGTTAATCACACATGGCAAAGCGTTCCTGAGTCTTTAAGCGTCAGTACGGATACTTATCTAAATTTGGAGCCTTTCTTTCACACCAATTAAAAGATCCATCGAAATTTTTCCTCTTCTCGAAGATAAAACGCGAAGGAAGTAAAAGATTGAGCGAAACAGCGGTGTGAGGA